TTATTATTACAGACAACGGAGAGTCGTTCTTTTTGTTTCGAGGGGTGGGGGAGGGGGTTCACCCGTGCCCTATGGCCGACATAAAAAACTCTGCTATATTATTAGTATTATTGTCATTAATACATAGTATCATTTACCCTTTAGCGTTTACTTCCGATGAGTAAAACCCTAGCGTGGCCCGAGAAAGGTAATGATTATGGGTTTTTTTTTTTTTTGTTTAAAGTTAAGACGAGAAAATTATACACCAGCCATTAGTCGTCGGCTATTGTTTGGAATATACATAATAAATAACACAGTGTCAGTCGGTCTACACGATAATTATTACAATATAATATATTTTTGTGCGTAGGCAATTATTTATTGAAATAGGACATAATCCAACTCGGTACACTTGCTAGTGTATTCCAGATGTTCACTGTGTATATTGTTATGCGTTTGTATTTGCACTGTGCACTTGACTATGGCTTAACTGATTGATGTGCAGGTCAATATAATATTACAGTCGATAAGACGTCTCAACTCGTAACGGTTCGCCGGCGGCTAAAAGAAGTTCTTGATTCTAGACGGACTAGATATATATATTTATATATTTTTTTTCCTTCAATTTTTCCACCAGATTGAATTACATATTTTTTCCGTTTTGTTTCTATTTTGTACTATCGGTTTGCTCGGTTCAAGAGTTCAACGTCGATATCTAATTATTATCCACGACTGACTTCGTTTTCGCAGATAACCTACAAGTTCACCCCGTAAAGCAAACTTACTACGACACTTACTTTGCACGGTCGACTTGAAAATAAACTAAACGTTTCAGAAACGCCGCACAATCTGTTTTCTCGATTTTCTAATAGAACAATTTTTTTTTTAACTTATTGTTTTTATAATATAAATAATATAAGTATGCTGTATAACTGTTATTAATTATTATACATAATTTTATGTTTTTATACAATTTTTGGGTATAATACACTGTTTTTGTAAAATCCAGATTTTATTTTTATATTATGTTAAATTACATGTTTCGGTAGTTATTCTGCGACCGTGTATTTTATTCACAGTTATGTTGGACTTGGGTTGGCTAAAACCGAAGTACTTAATATAATAAACAAATATCCGACCAGAACCAGCCAACCAATCAATTGTGGCTAAAAAGTATTTTGAGATTTTTTTTTTTTGTATAAAATTAGATATAAAAAAAAGATATTATTATTATTTAAATAGTTGTTTGATTTTTCTTAAAAATAAAATTTACACTTTTATTACATCCCGAGTCACAGTTACTGTGGTCACTAGTAGCGGCCATCTGTTCGTAGGTTTAACTTAACCACCAACCACAGCTGTAATGAGATACAAAAGTGTTATCGCGCTTGTTGTTACGTTATATTTTAACTGTGACAAGTAAACGAGAATAAGCAATATTGGAAGGAAACAAAACATGTAGATTGCTCTTATAAGCACGTTTTTTTTTTTGTTACCGTCTCACGACCACTGACCATAATAATATTACTGTACTAGTATTACACGTGCTTCGTATTGTTATTACCTTATTATTATATATGCTGGCAACCTCGATCAACCCCGATGGCCGAAGGTTAACCGAACGGTGATTTACGCGGTCTGGCGTCGTAAACGTCAAAATTATAAAAAGTGCTATTCTCTGGGAAATTGAACGCCCGGCGATGCGGTGTAACACAGATAGCCCTTAAGTATGTGTGTGTGTGTGGGTTGTCAGAAAGCTTAAAAAACGATATTAAGACGCCTCCGGTCGTTGGTTTGTATGGATTTTTTAATTTTATTTCGCGACCGGTTCATGAAATACACGAAATACAAAAAAAAAAAAAAAATAAACTCATATCCTTGTTCATATGTGTATAGCATGTGTGTGTGTAGCGCACTTGGCCGCGGCTGTCGAACCGCGTTATTTACAACGGGCGATTATTAACTTTGCGCGATGACTTATGGTGTTAACATTATATATTATTATTATTATATGAGTTAGTTGTTCGAGTAGAGGTGTGCGACGAAACTAGTTTTCGGTTCTTTTTGTCGTCATTATTATAATAATTATTATTGTTGACACCTCGCCGTTTATATCATCGTTATTTAAAACGATTATTTTTCTTAAAAACCCTCCCCCCCTACAAAAAAAAAAAGAGATTTCAGTTTATCAGGATTATCTTCGGATTAATCCTTAATTTTTGTGTAGCGGATTTTCAACCCACTACACTTTTGTAGGGAAACTCGGCAAAAACCCTTTGTTATTTTTCCATCTAAATTTTGAAATTTAAAAGTCAATGCACTGCACAACACTTTGGCTACATATGCTTCCTAGTACAAAACAAAATAATACATTTTTAAAATATAGAACATGTTTTAAAATATTTCCTGTTAAAAAGAAAAAATAATTTCATGGTATTTTTAAAAAAAAAAACAGTACTTAATTTTGTTGTTTAGATTTAATATTATCTTTAAGTATTGATTATATCTTATTAGAATATTAATACCTATTATCAGTCCATTTCCTTACATCAAAAGATATCACTCTTAATTTTTCCAATTCACCAAAGAAGTTAATAATGGTATACTAATTTTTTGGTATATTTTTTAATCAAATCTATCAAAGCTGGACGATGCGCTGTCAGAAAATATTGATAAACGATTAATTCAATCCTAGATAATAAAGACATTTCAAACATCGAGCAATGATCTTATCATTCAGCTTGAGCGATTGTCTGTTACTTCTATGACTAAAAACTATTTTGTGTTTTAATAGTTACAAATGAAATAATAAAACACTAGAGTAATGTTTGATTATTTTATGTAAAACGGATATAATATGAACAGGATATTTAACGCATTATTTGTACAATATAATTTAGTATGTTTCTCCAAGAATAATCTGAAAAATGTATATAGAAAAAAAAATGTAATTAGACTATGCCGTTTGCCTTATAGTTGTTTCTTATCTCTATTGTAACGGATGTTCGATTGAATTCATTTTAACTGGGTAAACTCACGAAGGTGGTGGTGGTTCGCTTGCATAAAATTCCATCCTAACCCGAAGCTCGCCAGTATTATTGATATGTCGTATACACTCTTCTGGGCATAAATATTTATTTAATTTATGTATTTTTTTTTTTTTTAATACTATGCGCTCGTTAAAATTCGATGTTTATCGTTTACCGCCGCCGATTATACGTCGAAGATTGCACCTCTGCATATTATGTCCATAGCGGTTTCGCAAGTCGAGGCGTTTTATTAGAAAATACCGGTAGTGCGGTTGGGCGTGCAATAATAATAAAATAATAGTAATGGCCATAATATATGTAGTTATGTTATTTGTAATGGTCTATTCGCAATGTCGTTTTAACCCGGAGCAACGTCGCCCAATAGAGGATTATTTACGGTTTAAAGCTGCTATTTACATTTAACTAGATAACTAGACGCATATTTAAAAATGTCTCCGCTGATTGTTGAAACTGAACGCGCGCCCAATTTCCAACTGGATTTACAATATTAATGTTCTTGCCTAAACCCAGGTAAACTCCATATGTATGTTATGAACCACACATAACATAGCCATTTGTACTGAACGTTAATGCACACTACACATTTGGATAATAAGGTATACTATAAAATCGATAACGATTCGACAAAGCGTTTGTTAAGACTTCTCCGTCCGCCGTGGTCTCACCTGCCCACATTATTAGCCGTAACACTGTTGCACTGTCCGTTCACTTTAATAAGGTTGGAGGAATAATACACCTAACACGTGAATTACTCGAATTGATTCGAAAAACATATCCGCGTAGGTCGGTGTGTACATATTTTTGTAAATTTACAAACACACGCAGTTGTGACATTCGAGGTGTTGGCCGTATATATAATAATATATAAGGTGTTAACTACTACCTATATGCGACGCGACGATAGGTGTACACTGTTATTAGCGTGCCCTCGATGAGTTCACGGAACCTGCCTACTTACATTGCGTTTTGTACGGAACGAGCAAGTAGTGGTCTTCCGATAAATACTGAATGCTGCGGACCAGAAGGAATTATCTTTTCGGCGCGAAAACGACAGTGTGAAATGTAAATGTTTAAACATTATACACGGGCTTTTTATGCAAACAAACAAAACGTGCCCTTGGACGTTCTCTCGGAGACAGTGTTGTGTGATGATGGCCAGGGAAAATGTCTTGCGCTCGATGAACTTATCCGATGTTAATCGCGTACTACGTCGACGACAGGCGGTCAGTTTAGGTTGGTTTTCCTTTGTCCAGAAATATTATAATGTCTGTGGTCGGGGGCTGTTGCTGAAGGGGCCGAGGTCGGCGTCGGACGCCCACGCCCGAGCTATTAGGTCCAATTTCGAATTCATTAAGAGAGACGGAGCGATAAAATAAAAAAATCGTCTTCCTACGTGGCAATTACCTTGCGACGGCAGACCGCCTTGTGCGCACATCTGGCCCGGCAAAGGAAAATTATTATGCCCCGTTGATAGAGCGGAATCAACGGGTACGTCTGATACAACACACGATTGTGACGCGTCCCAGCCGTTTTGATTTCCATGCTCTCTTACTCGCATTACACTGTTATTTGTCGATATAAACCAATAAAAAAGTACACACACACCACCATGTGCGTATGCAAACCAGTTTGGTGTGATTTCATTTCTCATAAGCGCCTACGCGGCGCCGTCCGGCCCGTCCCGCGACAGACGGCGCCGTCAGGAATTTTCCCTCTTCCCGGCTTCGGACGAGTGTTAAGTGCGGTATTTTCAAACTTTCCCGTGTTTTCATCCCCGAACCCCGTCGGACGCCAATCCCGGGACTTACCGTCCAAACGATAAAGGTTAAACCCCAGTTTGGCACACATGTGTTGTTGTGCGCGATCACACACGTCCTTGCTTGCCGCATACAGCCTGTCGGTAGCATAGAACCACACACTTGTTGTGTAGAGGTCAATAACGTTTTATTAATTTTTTTTTTTTGCCAACAGAGACAACCTGTACCGGCTGGACTTGGACGATTTGAAGAAAATCGAAGCGGCATCGTGGCCGGCCACCGACGATAAGGTGCAGCTGTGTTTGGACAAGGGTCAGACCGTGGACGACTGTCATAACTATGTCAAAGTGCTCTTGGCGGCCGGCAAAAGATTGTTCGTGTGCGGCACCGGCGCTTTCTCGCCCCAATGCACTTGGAGAGAGGTAAGTGCAAAAAGATCTTCTTGCATCGGTTGACCATAATTTGGCAATGGTATGCACAACGGCCCTCCCGGCAATACAGTAAAGCCACCCACCCAAACGTACCCAAACGTACCGAGTTCTCTGAATATTATCAACGCGATTGACATCTAATTATTTAGTTCTTCAATTAGTGATCATCGTCAACGTCGGAGTGGTTTCTTTTTGGAAACTATGGGTTAGGCCATTCACCCATTCCAAAACATCTATCGTGACAGCGCTCTACTAAACGGCACAAACCGTCGTACATTTTTTTCTGACCAAATAAGCGTTGTAGGCTCGCACACACTCGTGGTCATGTGGACTTTAATGAACACTTTTACCACAGTGTTATGCGCACACGCACGGTGTCAGAGAGGTGTAGGTATTCACTCACTGTCTCGCTTGGACATTGCCTGTTATTTAATTAACGCTCGGTTCGTATAGATAGTTATTTTCGTCCGATAGATATCTGATTCGTTTTGAAATCAACGGCGGTCCTGCGCCGATCCGCACGTTTTCCTACATGTTATACATTTACTAGTATCCAGGTATGGCCTAGTTTCCCGTAGTCGCTTCTGAGATTTTCACGTGATAATCATCTTGCCAACGCCCTAATCTGTAAGGCGATTAAAAAAATAAATAAATACAAAAATCGATTATTGTATTTTTAACCGTTCGATCAAACGCTTTGCTTCAATATCGACGGCGCATTAATATTATTTATTAGGGACATTTAATATACTAATCTAGAAATCGGCTACAGGTCCTGCGCGATTACCATACTGGTATTTCTTTATAAAAACTTCTTGCCAGTACTGCGTTATTGTCTACAGGCTTTTTGTAGCTCTTCAAAAGTCCTCCGTTCCTAGAAAATCCTAATTCCGTTATCTCCGCAGTCGCCTCTTTAATGTGCGCGTTCCATCTAGGACTTAACAATAACTCGAGCTATTAATCTTTCCATTCATCAACTGTCGTATTTCGTTGCCAGCTCTTGTCCTCTCTTCTGGCAATGCTTACAATATTTACTAACGTGTTTCGCCTTTGTTGCTCACAGATGGAAAACGCCACCAACATTGTCAACACGGTGCACGGTATAGGCAAGTGTCCGTACAGTCCGCTGTCCAACATCACTGCCATGATCACGCTGAACGGTCGATACTTTGCCGGTAGTCCTATGGACTTTTCGGGCGTGGACTCGGCTATTGTCCGGGACTTGGGAGCTTCGTATCTGCGCACCAAGAGCTATGACGCCAAGTGGCTGAACGAACCGCAATTCGTGGGGTCGTTCGAGACAGACGCCTACGTTTATTTTCTGTTCAGAGAGAGTGCGGTGGAGTACATCAACTGCGGCAAGGTATGTGCAAAGTCGCTAGATATACACGTTATTATTAGTATCATACGATATACAAGGCTAAAAAAAACCAAACAAGCGTAGGTAGGTATATTCGGATCGGTTGAAACAGTCGCGCAGACTAATCGAAGAACGCGTCGAGTGTAATTTCATTTTATCAAGGGCAATCTGGTTAAACCATATGGTTTCTATCGTATAAACTGGGCGCACATGTGGCACTGGAGAGATGCGTTAAAAACAAACCGAAGGCTGTGTATAAGTCAACAAACAAGTCGATACGATCGGGCGTGCACACTTATATTGGCTTTACCTTAATTACATTTTTAAAACGCAGTATACAATTTACATACGTGTAGATTGTAAATAACAACAATTTCGCTCACAATCAACATCGGCTGGTGGTATTTGTTTGGGAGTACACACTAAGGGCGTCCATAATATTATATGATTTAAAAGGATAATGCAATTAAAAGGCAGAGAGAGTTGTATTTCTCCGTGACTTTAACCAATCATGACTATAGCAAAGCGTTAATGACTTTCAGAGGGTGTATTCGAGGATTGCCAGAGTGTGCAAGAACGATGTAGGCGGGGAAACGATATTGCGCGACAACTGGACGACTTTCATCAAAGCTCGATTGAATTGTTCGCTGCCCGGCGACTACCCGTTCTATTTTGACGAAATCCAAGGTATGACTTACTTGCCGGACGAAGGGTTGGTGTATGCTACTTTCACCACTCCAAAGTAAGAACATAATATATCCGTTTGTTTCTTTTCGACTTTTACCATTATAATCTCGAAGTACTCTAACGATTGTAATTTATTTCCAAATAGCAACGGGATAGCCGGTTCGGCCATTTGCAGTTTCAGCTTGACCGCCATAAATGCTGCGTTCAACGGCCCGTTCAAGCACCAAGCGACCGTCGGCTCGGAGTGGGTCCGGCACAATCCAACAAATCATCAGCTGAATCACGGTCAATGTCAAAGGCAAGACCCTAATCAGATTCTCGACTCTTCAAGGTATGGCTTACAGCAAAGTGAATAAGAACAAACTATTTTATTTGATGGGTTAGGGCTACAATTGAAGCAAAGCTAATAAGTTTTGGGGTCCATTGATTGGAAAAGGAAATTCCTTTCTTTAGATCAATCGCAACGATCGGGTTATTAGCCCATTTGTTTTCCAATAATTAAAGTCAAACTTATTTTTCGATGTCGTGTATCGTTTTTCTAACCGATGTGTAACTTTTTAAGGTATCAACTGATGGACAACGCTGTACAACCCACTACACTGGAGCCGCTGTACTATAAACCTCTGGAAGTTTTGACCCAAATAGCCGTAGACGTGGTTCCCACCAAGCCACACGGTACTTTGAAAGTAATGTACGTGGCTACAGCGGAAGGCACAGTGAAGAAAATTACGATATTGCCGAAGACGTCCGTCACGTGCACGTTGGAAGAATGGAACGTTTTCCCCAAAGGTTCCGATTCCCAAATCATGGCCTTGCATTATTTAAAAATCACCGTGAGTTAATTGATTTTCCAGCCCTATCGAATTCCCAAGTAGGTACTGATTGCCTTTTTTTGCAGGATTCCATTTACATAGGCACCAAAGACCGAGTTTCGAAAATACCGTCTCAGCATTGCGGCAGGTACAGGAACAAAGACGCTTGCATAAACGCTATGGATCCGTATTGCGGTTGGAACGAGCACGTGGACAAGTGTCAGCCGCCGACCAATGGCAACATTTTGGAACACAACTGGAGACAAGACGTGACCAAATGCCCGGACCGTTCGAGACCGGTAGACGGTGGTTGGTCGAGTTGGTCGGCTTGGAATCAATGTACGCAGAACGTCAACGGCAAAGAGTCGTCCGACCAGTGTCTTTGCTCGAGCAGGACTTGCACGAACCCCGAACCCAAGTACGGTGGAGCCAACTGCCAAGGGGCTACCACTCAGGTGAGAAACACCAACCTAATACCTACACCCACTTCAATGAAATTAATGATTATTTTGGCGTAGGTAACAAACTGCACTGTTCATGGGCAATGGTCAAATTGGTCAGACTGGTCGGCGTGCACGCAGAGTTGTGGTTCTGCCGTGAAAATCAGGAAGAGGGCGTGTAGCAACCCGGCACCAGCTTTCGGCGGTCGAGTGTGCGTAGGACGTGACACGGACGAGATGTTCTGCCATTCCAACCCGCCTTGTCCGGGTAGGTTGCCGTTGATTCTCCAAACAGATTTCTCTGTATGAGATTTTTAACTAACCAAATTTGAATCTTTTCCAGTTTCACCGCCCGTTGTCAAAGAACCCGGTTGGAGCTCTTGGGGAGCGTGGAGTAAGTGTTCGGCTAAGTGTGGAGGTGGCTTCAGACAGAGATCCAGGTATTGTAACAACCCGCTGCCCCAAGAAGGCCAAGACTGCAACGGATGTTCCGAAGAGTACGAGATCTGCAATCAAAAACCGTGCACGGAAAGTAAAAAAGTAATGGCTTGGACACAGTGGACATCAGCTGGCAACGGTACGCAAAAGAGGTATAGGTTCTCGTGCCGCTCGCAGGACCAATCGTCGTCTATCAGCATCATGCAAGACAAAGAAGAAAGCAGACTGTGTCAAGACGGATCATGCCACCGACTAGGTGAGTTGACTCGAGCCCAGTTCTGTAGCTAATGCTACCAACATAAATTCGATTTACATTGTGAATTGTCCACTTATTACACATTTTTCCCAGCTCCGACTATAATGTTTAAATTTCAGATCAACCGTCAGATCCGGAAGAGTCGTGGTCCGAATGGTCTGGCTGGAGTTCGTGCTCGACCGAATGCGGTGGCGGCATTCAAGTCAAGACCAGAACTTGCGACGGTCCATTAGAAAATTGTGACGGACTGGCCAAGTTGACCAGACCTTGCAATACACAAAAATGCAAAGGTATTCACGAAGAACGAATCTGATCTTTTACCGAACGGGGAAATGGATAATTAGTTTTTTTTAATCTACTTAGGCGAATGGAGTTGTTGGACAGACTTTGGCGAGTGTTCGGTGTCGTGCGGCGAAGGACTGAGGAAACGGACCAGGTATTGCATGGTGAACGGCGTATCCGCCGACGGATGCGAAGGCCCATCAGTGAGCCAAGAGCCATGTTACATGCCGTGTCAAGCCATGGACTTGGGCTGGGAAGACTGGTCGGAGTGGTCGTTTTGTGATAAAAACAACCAAAAATACCGGACACGAAAATGCGCTTTGGAACGATGTTTGGGACCAGACATAGAATCTATACCGTGCTTTGATTCCAACGTTATCGGTAATAATATAATTGGAAATCTGTGGTCTAATATTGTCGTTCTTGTTCTTCCCTCCCCCAAAAATAAAAAGTTAATTGTTAAATGTTGATTGAAAATATTCGAAAAAAATGTAATTTTTGTATTTAAACTAATACGCTATTCGATTTATTTAAGTTTTTTAATAGTTATTTAATTGAATTTCGCTCAACTCCGCCACAGCATACCTTTAACAGCTAGTTTTACTATTTCACTTTCAACTAGACCAAATTGTCTCACCCCATTTTTCTCCTGCTATTGGCGCGATCCTCAAACTTCCTCTCGTGTATTCATTCTGTCCAACCTGTTCGTTATCCTTACGCTGTACTCAACTGGTTTGATTTTAATGTGTTTAGAAACTTCCAGCAGCTCCACTTTTTTGATCTGCCTGCTGTCGTTCGTAATCGGCGCCTCGCTGGCTTGTCTGACGTTCTACTTGTGGATCAAACGACAAAAACCCAAATTGCCGAGCAGTCCGCATTACATTACTTCCAAGCAAAACCCGTACGTGACGGTTCCCATGAAGGATTACCGTACCCTTCCCAAGCGAACGCCTTCTTTCACCAAACCCGTGACAGTGGGCCAACAGCAGAACGGCACGTTGCCTAAACTGTTCACCAAACCGGCCGAATACGAAACGGCCACCATCAAACGCAACAGTCACAGTCTGGTCAACGGTCACATGAGGTCCAACCAACAAGACTTGGAACAAGAGAAATTCTTCTGACAACGGCGTCAATAAACGCTGGCCAAAAAACCTAGTCATTTTTTATTTTCTAAACCTGCTTGCGATAGAATACAATGTGAAACAGACTTAGACGTCCGTCCCAATTAATAATGACAACCCAGTTAAGTAAAAGGGAAAAACATGACAATAATAATTTTGTTTTATTATTACCGACCAGTGGCATTTTTTTTTTTATATATAATGTACGACCGACGATCAAATTACCAATCTAATGACTTTGGATTTAATAATATGCACATTTTTTTTTTTTTTTTTACTAGACGATAAATATTGACCGAGAAAAATTTAATTTAGGTACTCTGTTATAGCGTTTGAAACGTTTAGTATTTAGATTCTAAATATTGAAATTATCGAATACATTTTTCAATGAAAATATTATATTTAATTTAATCGAATTCGCTGTATGAATATTATTATGCAAGCAATATGGTTTGTTGTTAATGCACCATAAACGGTATTATGGTTTATTTATTTTTTTAAATAAACCTAATTTTGCCACTATGATTATATACCGAAAACAGCAACGAACGTATATCCTAAATAAAAATGTATAATTAATCAAATTTAGACAACATAAATTATTATTATTATTATTGTAAAAGTTTTATAAATTAGAAGTACGTTTTTTTTTTACTGAAAAACTTGTACTTGAAAACGATTAAGTACGTTTTTGTGCCAACAATGTAGCTGTAAATGATTAATGACTGAATAACATTTTATTTTTTTAATGTTATAAACCACTGTTTGAACAAAGCAATGTATTATATACATATCATCGTAGATCTGCTCATATTGAGTAAAACGTAGATTGCACCTACTTTGCACATTTTTTTTTATATTTTTTTTTAAAAAAATTGTTGTTAAAAAGTCTAATATTTTTAATTATAATTATAGGCATAGATGTATACATTTATATTTATTTTATATTATATAGTTTTTATGTAATCTGTTAAAAGTACTTGTTGTGAATATATTTTTTTTAATTTGTACAATTATGTATTAAGAAAAGTATATACCTAAATATAACAATAATTATTATTTATAGTAATATCGTTGTCCTTGCCTGCCAATACCTAAACTATGTCTAAACCGACATCCTAAATTATTATTATGGTTAACGTTGGTCAGTTTAAATTACTGTCAGTAACAAATTTTGAAAATCGTTTGCACACTAGTGAAATATATTCTTTAAAAAAGTAACTATGTGATTTTCTCATTATTGCTTCTTGTAATAAGAAAACTGATGTAAACAACCTAACGTTATTTTCGACAAAACTGGACAATTTATTAAATAATTTTAATTGATTAAAGTTGAGATATTTAAATAAGTATTGTAAATTTATTAGATGGTGAACAAATGAGATTATTAGTCAAAATGCACTAATTTCTTTTGGCTATTTCAACAGAAACTTCTCTCTACTGAAAATAAAAAAAGTGTCTATAGCATTGAAATTTCTTGATTTGAAATTTCCTTAAGTTAAAAAAAATAACTTGTAATTTTTAAAATAAAACGTGTTAAGTTAGTTAGTTGTTTAAGACCAAAAGTGAGTTAAAAAATAGCCATAAGTATTCAAAACATAACGTGCCTACGGTTAAATCGATCGATTACCAAACAATGCCGCAAGTCATTTTAGCATTGTCACCTAGTAAAAAATCCATATTATGTTTATTGAATATCTAAATTCTAATGCTGGGTTCCAGAAACAGTTCCAACTGTTCCAGTACAGCAACCCAACATTATAGCATTTTATATTTTTTTAAATAAATATACATATTATATAAAATATGCAGTATAATGCTCTAGACCTACCTACTCGCTAGTTCAAATGGCGCTACATTGTACAACGGGAGGATGCATTTTATCGTTTATCTATATTACACTTACGCTAACAATGAACGTATAAACTATCTTTTTGGAAATTTTACGAGCTACAATTTATATGTACACTATTTTTTTTATAAACTACAAAATATTGAAGTACCTTATTAGGACATGGTCAAGGATGTGTAGTTTAAAATCACCTATTCGTCCGTGGGCAACAGTAGCATCGTGGTCCGTGCACTGATATATTGTCTACGGTAACTATACAATGAGTACAACCAGACGTGGCCTCGAAATTCAAAGTCTATTGGTTTACCGCCACGTCCGTCTGGTTCGAAACGATCCAGTGTAGGCGATGCGCGGGACAGTCGTGTTTCGAGGTTGGTCACACTGAAAAACGATGACATGCGATACACGCATCTCCGGTTATCGACACGCATCGTTATCATTGCTCAACACACAAATCGCAAACATAACAGTTGGCACTTTTTTTCAAAAATCGGTCCGTCACTCGATTTCACCTGCACTCGAGACTTCTTTTACTCTGTACAATTGGCAACTATTACACTATTTACTAATTACAAACAGCAATTGGCAGACAGTCGAATCGAGTCGTTAATTTTTTTCAAAAATATAAAAACCGACCACTTTTTGGAATTCGCCACTAAAATGAAATTCAACGTATTCACCGCGTTAACGCTGTGCACGATGGCGGCCGCTGTCTCGGCTTGTAAGTACACAGTCGACTCGTACACCACCACAGACGCCATTATCGTCAACGAGGCGGCCTTCATCGCGCAGATCAGCGCCGACTGTCAAGATCCGCCGTCCAGCTTGTACGCTGAAGTCGAAGGCAAATTGGTGGTTGCCGCCAATGCCGGTCCGAACCGCTATCAGGTAAGTCAAACCTAATAATATATTCCACATGTCCACTTATGTTTACACACTTATCTCATAACCGTCGTAACACAGGTGAGTTGGCTGGACGACTTCAAGAAAGCCCGGCGCGGTGATTATGCCGTCAAGCTGTACGACGAAGCAGGCTACGGACAGTTGAGAAAGCTGTTGCGCGACGGTGAATCCACCAGCGGCGTCACACCAGTGTACACCGCCTACGTCAGATATCCGGGTGCGTACAAGGGAGTGTGGGTAAACTCCGAATTCATGGCGGCCATCGTTAGCTTCGTCGTATTATATTTCGCATACACGTTCAAGTCGAAAATTGTTTCCTAAATGTAAATAATATTATGTTTTAAAAAAAAAAATTGTGTAATACGTATCGTTCCAAAGTCTGACTAAATTTTTTTTTTCATGTTAATTTTTTGATTGACATTTTTGAAAAATCATTGAATAATAGTCATGTTTTCAGTCGAGTTAAATGAATCATATTAATTAAAAAAACTAATTATACCCAAAATTGTTTATAAATGCATATCTTTTTATTTTAAGCAAACAAAATTGTTATATTGTTTATTTTTAAATTTGCTTTAAAGATAACATGTTTTTTGTTTGCAATAAATATTTAGTTAAGGTTATTTTGTATGTTTGTTTTTCATATTTATTGTATAATTATGTTTGCTTATGATCTAATTGTATTTGATGTTTACTTACATTATTATATTTTAATATTTACATTTTAAAATGAAAGTTTCATCGTACAATTTATTACTCTTCTATAAACGATTAGTAAATTATATGTTTATAATACAGTATTTTTATACAATATAATTATAATAGTTCTACATTTTAAATTATAATAAAGTTTTTTTTTTATGTAGGTTTTAGGTATATTAATATATTTCTAGATAATTATATTTATACCAACATTTGGTTGCTTATTAAACTTACATTATGACAAAATGCTTGAATACATTTTTTTTTTATTAAACATTTTTTATAAATTAAAACCAAAACTTAAATCTTTTTATTAGCACTTCCCTTAGTTTGTAGAGTAACGAGATTTTATAATTTTTCCTTTTTTGCTTATTTTATTGGTTGTTTAAATGCAAGCAAATTAATCATTTAAATACAAAAAAAATATTTTTAAAGGAATATTTCATATTGTCTTTTTATAACTTCATTTCATATTATATTATATAATATTATATTTTCTTAACATTTTTTCTCTTTCGGAAGTTAAATATTACTATTGCGTGTCGTATAACTAAATTTAATTGAAAATGAAAATAAAAGTTTAATATTGGCTATTGCCAAGTATATAACTTAGCATTATACACAATTTAAACTTTGATATATGATACGTTTTTTTTGTAATTCTTCATCAGTATTTATCTACTTTAATTTTAAGTAATTAATTAATATTTGTATATAAAGTTAATTTTTAACTTAAAAAATTCAAGCAAAACAACTTTTAAGCAGTATAAAAAAGTTACAGGCATTTATTAATAATATTAAGTATTTTGTATTATTAGTTAATGTTACAGGTAAATTTTACAATCAGGTTTTATTGTGTTAACAAATATTGTTTTGTTAACAAAATTAAACTATTTTTTTGATAGATAATGGACATGCCATTATATGTTGCTTTTTATTGTAGTTTGTAAAGAAAAGTTTAGTTATATTTTTAAAAGTATTTAAATTTTATTATTATAAAATCGAATAGTTCTTAAATATTTGGCTAGTTATCGAAAGGATTTTTATCAGATATTTATCAAAGGGTTTTTATTTAAAAATGTTTATTATTGAATAATATCATATTATTATAATATATTTCATGGGGTAATATTATTATGATCGTTCCAGTAATAATAAAAAGGCCGTTTATATTCACAGCGACCAAACGTGTCGTATTACATACCCGGATCGAATATTATAGTTTATAATAATAATATATTATACTATGAAAACAATAATAATAGCTGAAATTTATTAAGTTAATAAGTTAAACATTTTTTTTTGCTCATCTTTCGCTTTTACTTGTTGGGGCTTAACGTGTTTGAAGTTCAAAACTTACAAGAGGTAATGTAGTAAAAACTGAAGGTATACATGCACATTGCATACTGTAATTATATTTATTGTTTTATATTATTAGCCAACATGGCAAAAACATAACATATAAAATGATTATATTTTTCAACAAATCAGAATATTTGAAATACTGTTATAAACTTTGTACCTAACTGTTTAAATGTAAATCTTATTTAAAAAAAAAAAAAAAAAATGTGTTGCTATTTAAATAAGAAAGGCTTATTATATGGACAAAATGTAAGATTTTTAATTTAGTTTTTGGAAAATTAATTAAATTGATTGGCAAAACAACAACAAATTTAAATTATACCTAAACGCTTTTAACGCGTGTTTAAGAACTAAGTTAACAATAGACCTTATAGTCATCTCAGACAAGGTGCAATGTATATATAGTGAATAATACCTAATTGAGGGTTCTTATATTTGCACGCGGTTTTTATTTTGTGTTGGTTTGTTTACCGGAGACAGTGATTTATCATGCGTGTCTTGTGGTTTATTTAGTAGGGTTCCTAATGGATTGGTCGGTGTTAATATATGCTCGAACCACCCTTAACGATCGATCATTAACCAATCTATCACACATCTTTTCGTCCGAGGACCGTATGTGTCTTAAATGTTTGTAATAATTAGTGTACAATTAGGTTCTTGCCATATATTTTTATCACATTATTTTTGTATAAATGAATACTACGTAATAATTAACAAATGTAATAAAATTATTTTATTCCAAATGTAGTCTGCACCCTGCAAAAAAGTATTCATAATTTCATGAGCAATTTTAACCACGTCTACCGCGAGATCTTCTTCTATCAGATTCAAGTGAAGATGAAGATCAACTTTAAATTACTACTAAAATAACCTATTAACTAATATCAACATGAGAACATCATTATCACAATATCATAAACTAATTGTAATTAGTAACTTAATTTTTAATATGTAATTAGAACGTAAGAAAACTTGTAATAGTATGTAATATACTGAAACATTTTAATTTTAATAATTAAAAAAAAAATGAGCAATTTTGTTGGTTAGGCGACCGGATGGCGTCCAAGTACTGATAACTTGGCTGGGAGCTAAATTGGACATCAGTATCCCAAGTGTTTTTCAGATATTTAATCTTTTCATTATTGTTATTATTCCAAATTAAACCAGAGTATAATATATAAACACTACTTTTTTAAATAAATTTGAGGAATACATTACTTACATAAAATCAAGCAATAGAAAAGAGTCTAGAATTAACAAACCAGTCATGAAAAAAAATGTTTTTTTTCAATTATTTTATTTTGAATTTAATATGTAAGAATTTTACTGAGCAGAGAAACTTAAGTACAATTATTTCGCCTGTATAGTTAATTCCGGACCCTTACAGCTGTATACAATTAAATTATTATTAATATTTAAAATAAATTACTACGTGTTTTGCTACAATTAGGTATTGTATACTCGTTTCCAAACCACCTATGAGGTAGAGTATTTGGCTCGTTTTTTTTAATGTGGTATCTCCATCTACGATGATGCTCAAATTGTATTTACTGTACAACCACCAGAAATGTGTGGTAGGGGCGTTTCAAGCAATTGTGGACTTACGCATAGATGTCGATCCGGGCATAACTTAAGACTAACTTATGACTAACTTATGACTAACTTAAGACTAACTTAATGACTAACTTAAGACTAACTTAATGACTAAAATATCCCGGTATCGACAGACTGGGCGGCCACGCAACAGACATGGTGGACTTACGCATCGAAGTCGATCCGGGCAAAACTTAAGACTAACTTAATGACTAACTTAAGACTAACTTAATGACTAAAATATCCCGGTATCGACAGACTGGGCGGCCACGCAACAGACATGGTGGACTTACGCATCGAAGTCGACCCGGGCATAACTTAAGACTAACTTATGACTAACTTATGACTAACTTATGACTAACTTAAGACTAACTTAATGACTAACTTAAGACTAACTTAATAACTAAAATATCCCGGTATCGACAGACTTTGCGTATAACAGAGTACGAAGGAGGTTATCCAGTAGGATCACGGAATAGATATTGGTAATTTGATTTACAAAACAATCTTGTTGGTGTACAAAATGTAGTGACTTGATTAACTGGACGCAAATTTCAATGTAAGTAATTATTTTTTACTGAGCAGAAAATGTGAGAGGTTTATGAACTATAACAAGAACGACCACAACGCGAAAGTGAGAAGTTACAAACGAAAAAGTTGTTAAAGTAGTATAGTTCAATTATCTGAAATGATAATAATGCTAAAATGTGTGAATAAATAAATTATAATTGTGTGGTTGTCCAAAATAATTTATAAATAAAGAATTGAGAGTAAAATGGAATCATCGTACATAGACCTAATCCACACAGTACTTGACTTAGTAGAGGGGAGGGGAGGTAACTCTATTGTTTAGACATTTTAGCGTAGGTATTACCTTAAGTTTAAGAGCACTTAAATCTAAAAAAAAATTGAACGTAGTATTAGTAAATAGTATTTAGTAATAATTGGATTTGGACTTTAGATTTGGTATCTAAATTATTATATATTAAGAGATTTCCATAGAGCATGCTGGGTTATCGCATCACCTACTCTGAAGCCCAAATGTGAATTCGCCCTGTTAGACTCTTGAATAAAATTAATTCACCAACTTCTAAAATTCCAAGTGCTCTTATAAAATTTTTCCTTTTTTTAGAAACAGTTGTTAAAAATGGCGATCACCCATATTATGTTAGATATAATAACTGTGTGTGACATGTGTTCGAAATACTTACCATCAAGTAGGTACCCCTTTGAGTTTTTAGTCGCCTTTTTCGGATCTCTTTTTGGAATAGCTTGAAGTTACGTCCAAACTTATGGTAGAACATGCCAGTAATGTTTAAGTCGTTCAAAATAGTAATCGTTTCAACGTAAAATATATCTGCAAAACGCTTCGACACAATGCATATTGTTCGCCGAAAATATTGTAACCTAAGTATTGACTTTTATTATACCATCAATATACATTTGTTACTCACTACTTGTTATTAAAACAACAAGCAGAAATTCACATAGAAACGAATTGATTTCACCCGTTAAAAACACACATAGAGTCGGCAAAGATTTGCTAATTTTGTGTTCAAGGAGATCCTATATTATATTATATTATACATAATAAAGGATCTCTCTGAACACAAAATTTGCTTTACATTATTAATATTAATTTAGCATAGATTGAATTAATTAATAGAGTAATTGTGGTTGATAGAAGGGTGTAGGTATAGTAGCTCGTCCAGTATGCACATACGTTTTATTCAAATAATTATTTATTAAAAAAAATAATCTTAAACTTGATCGAACGAAAGATGTAAAACTTAATTTATTATTAATGAAAATTATTTGGAAATGATTTTAAATAATATGATATGTCATTGTTACTTTGTTTTGACGGTTGCAGACGATGCAACGCCTTAATTAGTGAACAAAAATAAATTATATTTTTAATCTTAAATCATATGTATATTATTTCTATAATTAGGATTTAGGAATGGAGTTTTACATATTTTTTTTTCATGCGCTTTAAGAAGTATAGTTTAAAGGGACGGATAGTTTAATTAACCTCTACTCATATCGTGGTCTTAATAAAACTGTGTTTTTTTATCAGTGTATTTTATATATAAATTAACATGTGAATTTTTTAAATATACATATATTATTAACATTGATAATAACGTCTTCAAACGAAATGATTCTCTGTTATCGGGATGCCGCCCAGAAGTGTCCAGGGCCTGACTGTACATACATATACAATTAATAAGCATTGAGTAAACCTATACTAAATGATAAAAGGTAAATTACCTAATCCGGTCGGCTATTCTCGAGTATAATAGAAGTTGTGTTAATATACAGATATATATTAATTGTGAAAAATATTATAACCAATTAAATTTGTAATACTAGCAATTCAGTTTTTTTTTTTTAGAACCATTATAAGCCGTTGAGATATAAAAATCAATTGATACTTAATTTTCTAACAAGACTAATTGATTTAACACTAATTTTTTTTTAAAAATGGACTTTTTAATAAAAAAATTTTGAGGTGTGCAAAATATATTTAACTAAGAACTTTTTGTTTAAAATAAATGATTTTTTTTCCTTCTAATTTTGCCTGGAACTTAATCTGAACCGGTAGGTTTCTTTGTGGGGTGTAGTTATTTTCTATATAGTTTTATGAGAATTTCAGCGCCACTCGTTAACATTGAAAACCGCATAGTCACGTGCACTTCTAAACCGTGTCACGCTTCCCTAACGTAACTAACGATAACGTCAACAACAATATTAGGTATTATGTTTAATGTCGATTTTATTACACTTTCAAGGTCCGTTTGACGCTTCGAATATTAAAGCGTTTCCGGAAAACTTACCACACTGTAATTTGGTTTTACAACACATATTGTTATGTGCCTCGAGTGAACGTTTAAAATACAATAAGAAAAAAGGAAATTATTCGTTTGCTAAAGTCTAACTCAAAGATCATTTATTTGGATTTCATCAGTTTACAAACATAAAGTTGTAATTTCAGTTGTATACTAACCGAATCGGACGAATGTACCTATTATACAAAAAAATAATAATAGTAAAGCAAAGTATATAACTGAAATTAGAACAAATTTATTTCTGTAGCGTTATACTTGGCAACGGGTATTATATTTTTATTGTACACTTCATATTCACTCTTGTAGATGTCGCGGTAGTTTTTGATGGTGAAAATAATTTATCAATTACGGTCCACCGAATGGCTTTCTTGTTGACATCATGTTGACATTATAAATAAAAAATAATACAAAAAAATAACTTATAATATTTCCCTACTAGTCACGACGTTTATTTGACTCATTAAAAAGGCAAATAGATCAAAGTATATGTATGAAACTGTTTTTTTTTTTATAAGCAAATAACTAATTAAGTCTTAAGGTCAAGTTGATTTCCAGGCAGCAGTTGAAATACCATAATATTTTTTAATGATTTAATTAAATAAAAGAAAATATTTCAGCACAATATAACATTTTATTAACGTTTTTAGTTTTACACTAGATTACTAGGTTTTTAATATAATTGATTTAAATTATTACTCCACCTAACCGAAAACCATTTTCAGATAAACAAATAATTTGTATTTGCAACGGATTTTGGGAAAATTATATAAACTAGTATTGTACAAACAAAATAAATAAGCCAGCGCTAAATTTGAGTTTAAAAAAAAACAATAGTATAAATCGTAATAAAATTTAGTAATAAACGACACTTTTGTTTATAAAAAAAAACATGAGGACTTTGACGGACTAAGTGTGTTACAATAAAGAAAAAAACAGCAAAATCTGATTTTTGGAATTTGAGCGCAACATTTGCTTGGTGCTTGTGAACTACTTTTTTAGTGTGTAATAGGCGTCAGCTGTGACACAATGGATAAAATAAAAAATACTATTCTTATTATAAACTCGATAAAAATTAAAAAATAAAAACAATACACAAATTTTATTTGACTTTCTATTAGATCAGCGCGATGGTGTCATTTTTCGGCCGCCAAACGCGGTCTTAAGCGAGACGGATGCCTTTGCTGTTGGGACATTCGCCTTCGGACTTCACCGTAAGTTCTGTAAAAAAAAAAAAAAACGTTACCATCATTATTATCGTGTTATAGAATTAGCCACGGTCCATTAAACCCTATTGACTTGCAGGTTAGGCTTTTTCCTTATTGACATTTCATCATTTCCATAATAGTTATTATGTTTTATGTGATTAATTGTACCTAAGACTAACGATGACCGTTTTCACCTTTAAACGTCTAAATACAGTTAAAAAATACTCAAGTTTGGGATGAACTACACCTTTTTAAAAACGGCGGTTGGACTAGAAATTGTCGTTGACATATAATAATTGTGAGTTTAATATTATTTAGAATGCAGCCTACGTTTAGTAGTGTATTATCTTACTTCGTTTAACTGCATCTTTGTGTACCCACATAAAAATAAATTGTAATCAGTTTTTTTTACTGAACATGAGGTAATAAAGTGCCTACTCGCGGGTCACAAAAAAACATTGATGTGGAAGACGCGTGTCTTCAGACTTCACAGTGCAAAATATTGAACATCTTGAAAAAAAAAAATGTCGAGGAAATGCATTGAGATTATAAAATCTGTACAATCCGTTTGGTTTTATAATTTTATTTTTCCAGCAACAGACAAATTTTCTTGTGTGTTTAATACAGACTAGGTCAGTTTCACTAGGGTTTTTTAAAAAAAGGCATTATACAATTTATGCAAACCGAGCATTTGGGTCGTTCGGTTATCCAAAAATAATATTATGCATTGTCACTTTTCGTCGTGTCACACTGTTCGCCTTTTGGTATGATTAAAAAATGAAATACAGCCAACTCATTCTCGACCCCAAAAAAAAAAGGGTAACGCGGCTCGCTTTGAATAATAGCAATAATTATATATATTTAAAAACAAAAACCTTACGCCTAAAAAAAAAATGTATTATAAAAATATCATATTTTACCCGCCGTACGTCCACATTTACATAATTTAGTCAAAAATAAAAATACAATATAATCATAATGGCCTATAATAAAATAAAGATATCAAAATATAATACAAGCAATAATAATATATTGGAATCGATAGTTTGATGATTCCAAAGTATTACAAAAATGTTTGATAATAAATAATAGTACTATACAAATAAATAAATGAAATAATATGTTTTTTTTTGTACAATAACAAAAAAAAATCGCTGAGATACCTCATCCGAAACGTTTTGTTCTAGTTATTGAAATCTTGTTATTTTGTCAAAATGTTCTGAACTTTTAAATTATTTTCTAAAATTGTTTTCAAACAAAATGTCGTATCTAACTTCTTTGCTCCGTTCTGAACTGGTCTTAGAACTTAATTTAGAATTTATATATTTTTTTTCAAGCACAAAAGAAAATTCCAAATATTTTTTACAACTTTAGAGACGTTTACAAAAATCGCCAGCAGTAAAAGACAGAAATTAAAACAACTTTTAAATGAACATAAGTTTATGTCAATGTATTCCTAAGTTCTCACTGTTCTTGTTGTAAAAAATAAAAACAAATTTCGTTGTTCTTCAAATATTGGTGGCGAGTTAAGTACAAAGCGTACAAGAGCATGTAGAATAAAAATACCGAGGTTTATCGACGGACGAGAAATCAATATTGACAATTGTATTAAGAGTCGTTTTCAATTGTTTTACGAGCCGAGCTGTCAGTTTTCACTGTGTATTTTTACTGCGATCTAGACGTCTACCAATTTTTTTCTTCAGTGTTTGATTTGTGCTTATGCTTTATTTGTCAGGGTAATGGATTGGATGTCGTGTGGAACACAATGATCGATCGATATCTAATTCATCAAGTCAAGCCTTTGGTCGGTGTGTGTTGAATAAAAATCGTTGTTGCAATTACAAGGTTAATAAAAAAAAAAAAATTTTAAAAAAAATTCAAACCTCGACGGACAATCAAAAGTTTTGAATACACTATTTTCGCGAGGTAGTAAGCCTTTAATATATATATATATATATATTTCTAATAAAGTAGCAAGAGTACCATATCAATAATAATAATAATAATAATAACGACAAATACAATTTATTATAATAAATAGTTGGCAATAAACCTTGTCTGATGTGCTCTACCAATCCATCATGTCCCGAAGATGCATAATACTAACTATTATACTGTCATACTAATATAGTATGACTAGTCTAATCCCACATGAATAATAATATATTCTCAGTACACTATAATTATTAGTACGGAAATAACGCCCCGCTATACTTATTGTTCAGTCAATTTAAAAAAAAAATTTGATTTGTTTATAAAGAGCCGTTTATATTATGTTTTCCAAATGAATATGACCCTGTATTAATAAAAAGTAAATTGCACAATGTATATCCACACGAAAATACTTTTATCACTTGCAGAGTTGCACAACCTCCACCACAACGCATACCAGTTGAAGGTCGTACTCACATAGGTTTTAATTTGTAAATAACATTTTTTTTTAATTTGAGAAATATTATTAAGTCGATCAATTTTGTACTTCAAATAATAATTCGTAAATGCGCAAATAATATTATTTAATTGATAAGTTGAAATAAATTGGATATTAAATAAATAATACTAATTGTTAATTCAAACAAGCTCTGAATCCATTGTCTACATAGTAAACATTTTAACATAGTAAACAAAGGAGAACTGTATTTTTAAATCAATCAAAATTCATAATTGTTTTGGACTCGTATAAAAATAAATTAACCACGATTTGAATCATGTTTACTAATCTAATTTGTTTGAGTTCGAGTGTATTTGTAGTTTAAGTTTTCATAAACAATTTGTTTAGGCGAAAATAAAAACATTTTTTAAATATTTTCACGACAATTTGTAATTAATCGCTTACTATTGTTATATCAGCTTAGAATTATAATTTGCTGTCATCTAGCATTGTACTATATTTTTTTACACAATGTAATATTGTTTTATTCGATTTAACTGTGTTGTCACAAGATCTGCATTTCTATTATATTGAATTCTGACTGTAAGAGAATAAGTGACAAATTTCATAAAATTTGATAGATAATGGAAAAGATGATTTAGGACTTTTACTAATCAAAAAACGTTTCTTTTTTTTCGACCGATTAGGAAATAAAATATAAAAAGGGGAATATGTCATAAAAAAAACTATACCCAAGACTTGCCAAGTGGAACTTTTTTTGTATTTATTTTAACAACACTTTTTTACTACTCGAAGCGAACATGCGAATGATAATAATATAATGTCGGGCTAACAATAAATTTGTGTGTTGGCTTCCACGAAAAAATAATAGCCTAAAGCGAACACGTTTTCTGAATAATTTCACCCTAAAAATCGAAAGCATCGTGTGGGGCGCGTGTGACATGCACGTTTTGTATCTCCATCCTTATTTTTTCTTTTAAAGAGAATATTGTTTTTTAGCCTCGTGTTAAAAAAATAAAAACAAAGGTCAGAAAGCGAGGAGCACGTATCGGCAGAAATCATATTCGTGTTATAATTTTTTTTTTATTGTTTTTCGTGTTATTCCGGTGACTATATTTTAACGGTACCCGCGTGACACCAATTGTAAGGAGAAGGGGCGGGCAAGAGGGTCCAGAAAGGCTACTGGCGTGGAATGGTAAAAAATAATTCACGCGTTTGACGGATTCGATTCTTTGACCATCCCTTACGGGGAGGTTAAGGGAAGGGAACGTATGCGGTCCGAAGGACCAAAACTTATTCTCATCAATCAGACAGAACACGTCTGTGCAAGTAAATATATCCGTCTAAATCATTCCCGTGTAAAACCAACCGTCACATCGGGTTGATCGCCACAAACAAAGAAACTATAATTTATAAGTTTGCGTACAGTCAAGTTTTGTATAATAACAATAGGTAAAGTATACTAATAAACAGGTAAACACGAGAGGAAGCTTTTAAAAGGCAAGATCGATTGGAGTGGGGGGGGGGGATCTACATTACCGAGATATATATATTTTCGATTTCTAAATTTCTAGATTTTACATCAAGAGTGTTTGTAGAGTGGAACTAAACTCAAATGTAAGCAAGTCTCGAGTACAAGTTATGGACGCTTATGAGGTAAACGATTGTCGGCTACCGTAGCCGATGGAAATTAATACCGTTTGTGAACTACAGCCGAACAATGTTACTATTGTTGATTTCGCGTCTAAGCTCACGTACGAGACGTACAATATTATAAGCAATCAAATGTCAGCTGCTGATATTGCGATATGCGATTCAGACTTCTCTACTTCCGCATCCCGGGCCCTGGACCGTGCCGGGTCACTTGGGGTTTACACGCCCCTAACCGCAATTTCGGTCTGGTTGCCACTATAGGTAATAATATGTATATACAGTTAAGACCTAAGGTATCTTTACGGCGTGCCCACCTGCAGGCCGAGCACGGCCGATGTACGTCTCTGGTGATTTACGCGAAACACCCCTTTGCTCGCCCAAAACGACATTGTTGCCGCCATACTTTACGGCGTCGGTCGTGGTACTTTTTTGTAAGCTTTCAAACAACTACACGGGTTATAAACTATATGAATTATATGACCGTTGTAATGGCGAACAGTTTGGTTGGGAAGCACGCAGGGCCATCCGAATAAACGGTGTTCCGGGGTTCCCCCTCGCCTCCTCGATTTTAGCGCACAAGACGTTATTGTGTCGACGACGAAAATCTTTTGTAACAATATAGTATTATATATAATTTTTTAATGGGCGCACGATTTCTGAGAATTGTTACGGCTCTGTAATAATTGTGTTCACCGACGGAAAAAATAACCGAACATAATTGGTGTGCTTCGTGCTAAAAAACACTTAATATTACTTTATCACTACCCCGGAAACTATCCGTAATTAACCTGGTCTATTTTTGGGGGGAAGGATGTTATATAAATATAGTTGTATCGATCAAATAAGGTCTAACAGCAACTCCGACTTTGTCGGTTTTTCGAGATCGGCTGATCCGAACACTCGCCCGGGACTTGGGAGAAGTCTAGGCGGTTTACTTACTCGTGTTGTGTTCGCAGTTGTAATTCTCCATCACGCACTTGTTGCCGAAGCTCAAGTTCACTTTTTGGCCGTCGGATCCACAAATAGGTTTGTAGTCAAGAGTGCAAACCGTGTCGCACTTGCGGCCCGGTGAAATCGTAGTGGTTGAGGTGGACGCCTTTAGCTTGTGGCTATTGCCGACCTTCTTGTCGTTGGCCGGCAAGCCGTTTGCCAACACGATCACGGTCAAACCTAAGTATCCGAGAAAAAGCACCAGTTAACATTTGTCAGTTTGGAAACAAGTAAAACGGAAAGGGCTATATTTATTAAGGGGCCAATGGGTAGGCAAGATTTTTCAAAGATTCGACCAAAGGTATTATGTAAACAAAAATTGGTCGTGACGGTCTGACAAAAGAAAACTACTAATGAAAAGTTCTCTCATTATTGTATCAATAAGTTGAAACTATAATAGTTTAAGCTCTAATAATAAGATTTCGTGAAAAATTGTCTATAATAATTTATTCCTAAATAAATTTATAAATATAAGATAGCTTGTTTACGTTTGGAAACGCCCGTTTTAATGAATTCCTCGAGTGATCGAGATCATTTTTTTTGAATATTTCAAATCATAATAATTAATGTATAACATTATATTTGGAAAAAGTAATAGAATTTTGGGCGTGTTATAGAGCTGATGGTAATCGCGCGATAAATTTCGTTTGTCCCAAAGGTATTTGTGTTTTTGAAAATTAATTAAAATTTAAACGCTGTAATTTTGGCGGATGAACGAGGAATTATAATTTTTCGCCTTCAAACGGGCTTAGAATTCCGATAATATATTTATTCAAATATAATAATTATAACAACGAAAGAGAGGTCGACTGAAAATAATAATAATATCTTAATCTCGGTTTAATTGAAAACGGCTACTAGAATGCAATGCCACCAATGCAGTCGTGCCGTCGAATAAGTAAGCTAGTCGGATATCCTAACGCGTTATTCGCAAAGATAATATAATATTATAATACAATAATAATTGGAGTTATTTAACAAGAACGACGATAGTAATATTGTTCTACTTACCGACTAGGAAGATTAATGCTAACGATTTCATGATGACGAAGACGATGGCTGTGGTAGTAGTACAATACGGATTCGTGCACGGGTACAATAATCGTTGCGATTTGATAACCGGATGACAGGCGAGAGCTGTTATATAGACTCTTCTCCTACCCAAAACGCACGCACCAGATGCAACTCTCCTATCTGCCTACCGTGTATAAATATTATTATATTTTTTTAGCAACAATTATTGTTACGTTGATATTGTTTGAACGGTCACACACAGTCACGGTATCATATTATAGCCATTGGTGTTGTGTGCACGTATATAATTATCATATTGGTCACGACACATGCACTTCTCATAGGCGGAGAACGGGGGGGGGGGAGGCTAAGCCCATGTTAGCCCCCCAAAACATTACTTAAACTAGTGATTTTTAGCGTTTAAAATAAATAATTTTTTCCTTAATAGCTTTATTATAAGACCCCGCGGATCTGTTTGCTACGCCTAAAATGTAAGCCCCCCCCCCACCAATTTTAGATAGGATTTCCATCTATAAATCTTCTCGCCTTGGAGTTCTTAAGATCTAGTAAAAAAAAAAATATTTGCTGTGAAAAAAAAACCAACCGAATCGGAATACTTACCAAAGTTTCTTAACAAAATACGGGTTGTTTAATATTATATATATTTTGCACAATATAATATACCTATACAAATTTGCTTTCAACTGTTTTTTCATGTTCGACGGGGAGTCAAGAAGGTAAGGGTATCATGATTAAGATTGTTTTTTTGTGTCTTAATCTATACTTTTGAGTTTTAAACTTTTACGATTGTTTAATGTTATAGAAATATTGATAATTATTAGAATGTTTCTATATTATTTTAATAGCATTTTGTAAAAAAATATTACATTTTTAGCCAAAAAGTTATTACAAAATATGTTTAAAATGTTAAATAAACTTTATAATATGAAACATTTATAGTCTAACAAATAAGGATAAGTAAAATACAAAATTTAAAAAAATCCCTACTGTCCTAAATGTTTGAATATTTAAGTAGGTAACACCCCATGGGTCATCACTTTCAAGTGCGCAAGCAGTAAGTTTTTGAAGCTCATTAGTGTTCTTACACGTTTTGCTTTATGTCATACTTTGTTAACGAATATACATTCAGGCGCCACACGTTATAAATTAAGTAAAGTATTGAACATAAATTATTAGATTATGGTAGACCGAGAAGAAGTTGTGTAGTCAGTTTTATTTGATTATTTTGTGCTCGAGTATGCGATTTTGTTCTGCTAATCACTGACTGACGTCAGTATACGGTTAGGTGCGGCTTTTCATCGTTGAATTATGTATCACATATTGTAACTAAAATACTCCGAACCTAGTGCAACGTTTCTACTAGGCTTACCTAGTACCCAAAGCTAGATGCCTAAGCTTACATGGATGTACACAACGATAAGTACAGGTTATGCTGCACAAGGATTTATATGTTTGTGTCCATATTATTATGATTAAGCCGGAACAGTATAAAATCAACAACGAAATTTATATTACTACAAATTAGTTGTTAAGTATGTTAACTTATTTCTGTAATGTTGTAGGTCTTTTTTTTATTGAATAAGTACGACCAATTCGACCACTCTAAATTTAAATAATTAGCTTTTTGTGTGTTCCTAGCCCCCCCGTAAAAACGGCAAAAGGGCGCATTTTAACTGTATACTATAAACAAAAAATGCCATTCATATTGGAATATTGTTTCTACCGGCTTTTGTTTTTTTTTTTTTATGCTCAGATTAGATTAGATTTATACCCTTATATTAAGGGTAATAATCGGTTACAGGTGGCCTTGAAAATGTGCATCGGTACATCACCGTGAGTTGTCAACGACGCAATTTCTATCAACAGCACAGAGGAAACCGAGTTAAATGGATTATATTGGCGTTATTGTTGTCGTGTGTCGACCCTAAGTTCATACCGTACACATAATTTAATCTATTACCCGGTCTTTGTTGTTGAATTTATTTAGCGATGATTCGCTCATTGAGAACGTGTACTAGCCCGTCCAATACAAAGCTAAACCATTACACGTTGTATTACTCATATTTTGTTGAATACATCATGCGCATATGTTTATATGCATTCTGTACATAAACATATGTATAGTACAGGGTCTTCAGAATCCACGGGCCACGGTCGTAAAATAGGTGTAGCGCGAAAATAAAATTTTATAAGATCCTGGTTAAAATACTTAAAAAATCGACTTGATTAGCTGTTATTTATGTATTATCGTTGTCCACAAAATAGAAAAATTTCCATTTTGTTATTGTACAAAGTTTATATTTACACTTGTAGATGTCGTGGTAGTTTTTGAGCAAAAATTTTTTTTTAGATGAACAGAAAATATGGTTGAAAGCAACTTAAAAAATCATTTGAACGTGTGCCTTTTTTTTGAAATTCAAAATATCGCAATTCTTTTATATTTTTTTACATTTGGCGAATTGAACATTACATAAAAATGGTCAAGAGAAAATTCTTGATTACATAATAACATTTTATAAACGTCAGTTGCAATTATGTTTTATTAATTTAGCAATAATTTATCAGCAATCGATGTTTATGATTTATTAGTGTTTGTTTAGTGCTTCATGTATATGTTTGAGTAAAACAGGCGTGACTGATAAGTGTAAACAACAAAAATGATTTGTATTACAATAAATTTGAAAAAAAAATAAAATCCGAAAATATATAAGTTTTGTTTCATTTTTGTTCTTTCCACGGACGACAAATGCCATGTGTAAAAAAAAACAAAAGATACCTAGGGGCTAGGTAAGTACAGTTTGACAATTAGTATTCTCTGAAAGGCAACAACTACAACATATTGTATTTTGTGTTTTTATTTATATACTTTTTCGTGAATAATAGTAGCATTGCAATAGGTGTGAGTAATTGCCATACGCGATGAAAATACTATTGAAATAAATTTGATTTGCAAAAAACAATAAAAATACGATTTTTTGCTCGGACTTTGTATGGGATAAGCTGCACATTGGTTTGGTGGTGGAATCGCTCTGGGCAAGCTTGTACAATATGTAGCAACTCCAATTGTGCAAACAAACAATCAATGACCATTATTGTTATTGAAGTGACCGCATAATATCATAAGTCTCGTAAGACAATGGGCTTTGTTTGAGGAGCACCAACGACCGATGAACTATTATCGGTTATTATTGTTATTGAAGTGATCACGCTTGCTCAACTTGCGTAAGACTATTGGGTTTTTTTTTGCAAGGGGGAAGAAAACTATACATTTAAAGTTATTTATACCATTCTCATTTCTGTCCTTCGGCGTTACGCGCTTTGTAAGTTCGGCAACGGCCAATAACTCAACGGAGAACAGACTCAATCGATCAAAGGTTTAACATTCTACCCTGACGGTTTTATATAGGTACATTTAATAAAATACGACGGTCGAAAATCCAACCACCCTCCGGGGACTGAACGGCGAGACTTTGGAAAATTAAGCTATCGTTGCAGAGTGCTTACTTGCTTCTCTGCGGCAGTTGAATATTGTTACCATATTGTACTCGCTGCGAAAGGTCAATAATACACAGATTTTTACATAATGTTGATAGTTTTAAATAGGCACTCCAAGTAAAATCGCATAATTTCACGAATGGCTTGTGAAGAAAATTTACTAGGAAGACGCCATTAAGTGGACGTTATACACGCAATTTTCTAGACTTACAACATACCTAAGCAGAATGCGTTTTACTCGCTCTGAGATGATTTTAGAGCAAAAATACTTGTTGCTGTGATAGTTCCAAAAATAAATAAACTACCAAAAAAGAGTCCTAATTACCGAGCTGATAATTACACATTACAGTATATCCTTTAAATTAGGGTTTTCCAAACAATTGCCTACACCTAAGGCTCGACAAAATATAGGAGGTATAACGTCCTGTTAAGTTTAAAAAACTGTTGATGAGATATTAAATTTTACAAATATGCAACACGATATATTTATTATTATATTTTCAAATTTCGTTAAACAACTACCGTTTTAGTGAATTTCTCAGAGTATCGTTGTAGTCATTAAAATATTTTATATATTTTATATTAAGTGCGTTGGTTCGTAAAGAATAAACGGTTAACTTTAGAAGTCTGAAAATAAATTAAAATATGAACGCTGCCATAACTAAAGAATGTGAAATTGAAACTCTTCCCTTTCGTCTGATTTCCTCCATTCTTTGAGATTGAGGCGGAACTTTTGGAAACAAAGTAGTTATATACTTTTATGAAATATTAAAATAGAATTAAATACATTTTAATAAAAATAAAAGCGGCTGCTGAAGTGTCCAAATTTCAGTTATCATTTATATTATTATATTATACATTTTATGTTTTAATAATAATGACTACTAAATTAATGTCTAATGTAATCGTTGACAAACAAGTAAGCTTAGTCCGGAAACATTGCACGTTTTCGTGAAACGTTCTTACTAAACTAAAGTTATCTTATAACTACAAAACGATTCCTTCAAATGTGCTTGTTTAAAAATTAAAAAAAAATAGAGAATAATTTATTCAACGGTTTTATTTTATCGGCCTTATTTTTTATCCCAACTATAATCACTTCCCTTTTTTTTTTTTTTGAACTATGCGTTTAAGTAAGTACATAATAATTTAATAATAATTAGGTATAAACACTTTAAGATTTCTTTATCAATAAATACATAAAAAATATATACATATATAAATTGCTACAGTGCAAGTTTTTGCAGTGCTTTTGAAAGCTCAACTAACCCTAGAATACTACTCCTCAGTTCTTCAGTAGTACCTAGTTAAAGAAAATACTGTTGTACTGGGTAATAATAATAACACAACATTTATGCATCACATAACATCGGCATTTGTGCTTGATTATTGCTTGTGTTTGTATGAGAGGAATAACAATAAGAATACTTTGTACATCATTGAATTATACATATAATGCATAGCGATTAATAAGCGATGGTGCCGTTTCACAGTTGGCAAACGGTTTAAAAGATATCTGCCCGTCGCCACATGTCCGGACAATATTCACCGGAAATTCGTTCGAACTCTACAAAAAAAAAAAAAAAAATGCCAATTATTATTATTATTATTATTATTAATC